CATATTATAATGCGTTTTTCCCACTTGACATTATATCATGAACATAATCACATATTCTTCTGCATTATTTAAATAGTCTCATAGTATTTCATAATATGACATATCAAAATTTATCAAAAGCCAATCCCTCAGTATAACAATTAGATTACGTCCAGTTATTTGTTATCATAAATAGGCTGCAGCGAACATCTTTGTTGTTGACTCTTTGCCAAACTGTCTTACTGGAACATGTCTAAAATGTCAAAACCATTAGTTCCCAAATTTAAGTACACATGAGAATCATACGGAGACTTACTCAGACTCCCAGGCCCTAATCATAGAAATTCTGATTAGGCAGATCTGGAATAGGGCCTGCAAGTCTGAATTTTAGTAAATACCTTCTGCAATTCTCATGCAAGAAGTTTCAGCATGACTTTTTGTGAGATAATGCCTTAGAGGTGTTAATAAATACTGTCTTTTCCCTTGATCTCTTGCAAAAAATGCCACTTCCCTACAATAACATGAATTATATATTGTCCTGGATTCAGTTCTACATTTCTTAGCAAAATAAGGCCATCTGACCTCTTGCTTTTGACTTGGTAAAGTTGTTCTATTTTTTTTTTTTGAAGTATCATCAAAACACATTGATCTGGGACTTTTAGAAAGCCATTTGTTATTGCTGTTTTTAAATAGAAACATTAGGATATAGGCATCTACAGCTTTATCGTTTTTATTATCAAGATAAAAATGCTGCACTTTAGTGTTAATAGAGGTTGTCCTCCCCAAAGAAGGTTCCTCATGAGGTGGTTTTATCGAAAAGAGAATGTCACAAACCTTCAGTCTTTTGTCATATAATCTGGATTATGGAAAGCATTCTTGCATTTGCAATGCTATCTTTATAAAAAGATGTTAACTTTGTCCAAATACATTCAGTGTTTAGCTCTGCTGGCCTCATCTTTTGTTCTTCTTTTCTGTGTTTATCCCAAAGAAGGATATCTACATCCTTTTTTTTTTAAGTATGTTAATTTTTTATTTTTAAACATTTTTTATTTATTTATAATCATTTTACAATGTTGTGTCAAATTCCAGTGTTCAGCACAATTTTTCAGTCATACATGGACATGTACACACTCATTGTCACATTTTTTTCTTGTGAGCTACCATAACATTTTTTGTATATTTCCCTGTGCTATACAGTATAATCTTGTTTATATATTCTACAATTTTGAAATCCCAGTCTATCCCTTCCCACCCTCCACCCCCGTGGCAACCACAAGTCTGTATTCTATGTCTATGAGTCTATTTCTGTCCTGTATTTACACTTTGTTTTTTTGTTTGTTTGTTTGTTTGCTTTTGTTTTTGTTTTTTAGATTCCACATATGAGCAATCTCATATGGTATTTTTCTTTCTCTTTCTGGCTTACTTCACTTAGAATGACATTCTCCAGGAGCATCCATGTTGCTGCAGATGGCGTTATGTTGTTGATTTTTATGGCTGAGTAGTATTGCATTGTATAAATATACCACATCTTCTTTATCCTTACACCATATACAAAAATCAACTCAAAATGGATCGAAGACTTAAACATAAGACAAGATACAATAAACTTCCTAGAGGAAAACATAGGCAAAACATTATCTGACATACATCTCAAAAATTTTCTCCTAGAAGAAATAAAAGCAAGAATAAACAAATGGGACCTAATGAAACTTACAAGCTTCTGCACAGCAAAGGAAACCATAAGTAAAACAAAAAGACAACCTACGGAATGGGAGAAAATTTTTGCAAATGAAACCGACAAAGGCTTGATCTCCAGAATATATAAGCAGCTCATACGACTCAATAAGAAAAAAATAAACTACCCAATCCAAAAAAATGGGCAGAAGACCTCAACAAGGATATCTACATTCTTAAGTCATTAACTTCTCTTGAGAAATCTGTGAGGCAGATTATGACCTGTTAGCGGTCCCAGAGTGGCTTGAGTTTGCAGGTCTGTCCTTAGAGGAACACACAGAACTGCACAAACCCACAGAGGCTCACTTTCTCAGCCTAAAAGTGAAGAATGCTACATGTGCACTCATGTTCTCCCTTCTTTTTCTGTATTTGCCACTTCACTCAACATTGATTTTGCCATTGGCTGTTCTAAAATCAGAGTATTTCAGAACTGAAAGTGGTCTTAAGATTCATTTTGTACAACCTCTTGATTTGACATCTAAAGAAGCCAAAGCCCAGCAAGGTTAAAGTGACTTCTTGATACCACATAAGTAATTAGTGACAGAATCAGGCCTAGAATATCTATCTCCTGATGTAATCAACAAGGATTGTCATTAATTTCCAGTGTTTATGTAGGACTGTCCTGGTCTCCGTTTGTGTTTTTTTTTTAAAGACAATGTGAGGCATATTAAATTATAATCAGTTAGTGTATGTTCTGTTCTTTTCTAGTAGTATACACCTTGCCAAAGACCATACTTGTTAGAGGTAGTTCAGGGTAGTTGTTATTAGTTTCAGCTTTAATTAAAAGAGATTTGGGTTTGGCTCTTGGCTTGTAGGGTGATCAGTCCTCCTAGTTTGCTTAAGACTGGTGGGTTTCCCCAAACATGGATTTGAAGTGCGACAAGCAGAAAGTCCAAGGCAAACTGGAATGTTGGTTACCTTACTAATCATGTGGCTGTGTGACCAAGGCATGCCATTTTAAATGTCTCTGTTTCTTTTTATGTAAAATGTAAGAACTAGTAGAACTTCACCCAGAGGATTGCAGTGAAAATTAAATGATATGCTATATTTAATACAGCACTCAATAAACCCAGCACTTGATAAGAACTCAGTGAATACTAGCCATTATTATTAATTTTTTTCTAGTTTTGTTGAGATATAATTGATACACAGCAGTGTATAAGTTTAAGGTGTACAGCATAGTGATTTTTACCTAAAAATATCTTAAAATGTTTACCACACGTTAAGTCAACATTCATCATCTTGTGTAAATTCAAAAAGAAAATGAAAAAGAAAAAATATTTTCCTTATAATAACTCTTAGGATTTACTCTCTTAATAACTCTCATATAGACCGTACAGCAATGTTAACTATAGTCATCGTGCTATACATTACATCCCTAGTACTTATTTATTTTATAAATGGAGGTTTGTACGTTTTAACCATTTTTATTCAGTTTCCCCTCCCTTACCCCCACTTCTGGTTACCACAAATCTGACCTCTTTTCCTATGAGTTTTTTTTAGATTCCACGTCTGAATGAGATCATACAGACTTATTTTTCTCTGTCTGACATTTCACTTAGCGTAATGCCCTCGAGATCAATGTATATTGTCTCAAGTGGCAGAATTTCCAGTTTTTTAAAGCTGTTACTATTATTAATGTTGTTTTGCACAGCAAGTCATTTCCTCAAAGCACAGATTCTCAGTCTAGATCTTCATATCTAGGATTTGAAATAAATTAACTTTGTTTTTAGCTTTGACCTCTTCTTTACCTTCTCAGTGCCTTTTTTTTTTTTTGGTTCTATTTATCCATGAACTTAGACAATAAAACCCAAGGCTGAGTAGAATCCACCATTGCATTGCCTTCCACATTTTTCGAGATATAAATCAGAAAGAGACAGATTTTCTGTCTGGAAAACAATATGAATGAATGCAATATCAAAGGCAGCATAGTGCTATGAAAAGATAAAGGAAATTAGCGTGGATTATAATAATAATAGCTGCCATTCTGTTGAGTGTAAACTCTGTGCCAGATATTAGTACCTCAAATATTTCCTCTGTCTGCTCCAGACAATGACTCTGAGAAGTAAATATTATTATTATCCTCAATGTTCCAATGGAGAATCAACCTCAGTGAGCCTTAGTTGCTTGTCCAAAGATAGTAGTACAATAAGAAGTGCAGCAAACTTTCAAAACACTTTTGCAAAATGTGGACTCTGTAAAGGCAGTGCACTTTTAACTTATAACCAACAGGTTAATTTTGGAAAAAATACTTTGCCTCTCTGGGCTTGTTTCTTTACCCTGTAAAACTCAGAAGGCAAGGAAACTGCCATTTATGACTGCTTATCACATCACATACATGATCTCTTTAATTCTTGTGGGTAAACATTATTCCCATTTTTATAATAAAGAAACAGAAACCTTAGGGAAATTAAGCAACACTCTGCAAACCCAACTAATAAAGTGGCAATGCAAGGATTCTAAAACTCAGCATGTTATCTGATAACATTTGGTGGCTCTATCATTCTGAGCACGTAAGTAAAATAAACATTGCTAGAATAGACTTTCCAACCACTTGGTAATAATTATTACTGATATAACAGTATATTTTTTGACTAGAATCAAAATATTACATTTTCTTCTTTATTCTAGACTTGATTTGCCTTTGCATGTGCAAAGGTAGCAAGATAATAAAGATCTAATTTGCAAAATTCAGCTGTGATTTAAGTGAAAGTTTACTAGGTACTCAGATTTTCTTTTCATGTCTGTTTTTTATGCCCCTCACAAAGCCTTATTATAAAATTTTGCAAAGAATATCTGAGTAACATGTGAGGTATGAAACCATGTGTTACAAACACGGTCCTAAGTATATTTGTATTCATTTTCTTCCCCTTTCTTCATATATGCATGGATATGTCATATGTCAAAGTACATATATTAAAATGAAATTTATGCAGTTCACTTCATAGATGGTAGAAAGATGTTTCAATTTACTCTTATTTCATGGAATTCATTAACAAAGCTCATAAATTCTATGATATTGGAAATGTCAGTGAACTGTAACAGCCGAGTCATATTGAAATATCCTGGTGGACAGCTAAGACTATTTTAAAAATAAATCTAGATTTCAGCCATTAGTTCTAGCCTTTTCACCAAATATTTTTTCTGTTAATGCCATTGCTTTCTAGTTAGCATTTTTCATGGAGAAGTTTCCCTTAATTTTTTTCTCCAAAAGTGTAAAGCCATCATGTAATGTTAAATCCTGGGGCTTGTGTTCATTGCTATACTTTGTGTAATTTTTGCCTCAGGCCTCTGAGGAAACACTGCATTCCAGTAATGAAGAGGAAGACCCTTTCCGAGGAATGGAACCCTATCTTGTTCGGAGACTTTCTTGTCGCAATGTTCAGCTTCCCCCTCTCGCCTTCAGACAGCTGGAACAAGCTGACTTGAAAAGTGAATCAGAGAACGTTCAAAGACCGACCAGCCTCCCTCTGAAGATTCTACCATTGATTGCGATCACTTCTGCAGACTCCAGTAGGTGAGTCACTTTGGGCGACATTTCCCCATTTTATATTTTTGATGATGATTGTTATCTGTGGTCTTTGCATTTTGTGGCTCATTGCTTGATTTGAGTGGGAGGAACATGGGGTTTCTAGAGCCAAAAGAAAGAAGGGTGATTTTTCTCAGGTAATGTTTCTATCTCTGCAGGGGGAGACATTTTGTCAAATTGTTTTACAAGGAGGATTTGAAAAGGTATTGATGAATGATAGTGAGCATCTGGGAAAGAGAACTTGGTCTTGGAAGATTAATATTGGTCATAGGTGATTTAATAGAAAATTTCTTAACAAATGAGAACTAATGGACAAATTACCATGTAGTTATACATCTCTGGAAATAGTAGGCAATATTCATTGATGCAAAATGAATTTGGAATCAAGAATAGGTTGTACTATAATTAGGACCAAAGGAAATATGCAATTATAGTCATGAGCCTAGTAATTTGGCCTTTAACATTTTCAGGTGTTGCTTATTAGAATAATGTTTCAGTTCCTAGCATAAGGTGGTTTTATTCTGCATCAGACAGTGAGAGCTCCATAGTATAACATTTGTATTTCATGCTTTGCAGAGTATTTGGGTTTTTATTCTTTTCCTGTTGTTTACCAATGGAATTTTTACTCTCTAATAGTCATTCACCAGGTAAAAATTGTCAAAGAACATGAGGATAGTGGGCATGTCTGTTATTAGTTTTTTTGGCTAGCTACATTTTTAAGAAGAGAGGATGAAGGCAGTGGTCTATACTTGGACAGACTTGAACACTTGCTAAGATTACAAGAACAAAGTAATTTGTGATGCTGCAAATGTGAGTCCGCCTCATTCTCTGCCAAGTTAAAGGCACGTCTAGAGAATGTACCTTTTGGATTTTCCTTAAAGTTATTAGGAAAGTTGGGGTCAGAAAAAATTTAACCAGTAACTTCATATAAGATACCAAGTTTAGCTATTTGAATCATTACAGACCAGTTCAAAGCACCTATGTTATTAAAAGTTATGAGGAAATCACTACTGGGTAAATAAGACAACAAATTCTTACTTTGAAGCGATGGAAAGAGGAAGTATGTGATGTGTTTGTTTTTTGGTGAACTATGTATATAAGGAAGATTGTCACCTATTGATCAGACACACTAAAGCAGGGAGGAATTTTATATGGCAGCTTGATCTGAGTATTCTTTGAAAAATATGGTCTCAAAAACCCCCTTTGGTGTCAATACCACTTCATCTGTGTAGAGGGCAGGATTCATCTGCCAGGTGTGTCAGAGCTCATCAAGTCCACCCCTTGGTTTAATAATTTGCTAGGAAATCTCCCAGAACTAAGTAAGTAGTCATATTCACAGCTGGGATTGATTACAGCAAAAGAATACAGAGCAAAATTAGCAAAGAGAAAGGCACATTAAAACAAAATTTGAAGGAAGCTAGATACAAGTTTTCAAGAGTTCCTTCTCCCACTGGAATCAGACAGGATGCAGTTAATTCCTCCACTATTGAGTTGTGATCATACATGTGACATGTGTTCACCAGAGAAGCCTTCTACCAGGGAAACCTATTTAAGCCTCAGTGGCTTCTGGGAGGTATCTACAAGAGTCAATCTCACAGAAACAGAGTAGAATGGAGGTTGCCAGGGGCTGGCAGCAGGGAAATGGGGTATACAGTTTCAATTATGCAAAATGAACAAATCCCTGAGATCTGCAGTTGATGATACCGTATTCTACATTTAAAACTTTGTCAAAAGGCTAGATGTCATGTTAAATGTTCTTACCACAACAAAAAAAAATTAAAAACAAAAAATAAAAGATACACTCAGTGCCCAGAATTTTTACTGAGGGCTGGTCACTGAGGCCCTCTCTGCCTAGCATGTGCCTAAATTCCAGATTCCCAGAAGGAAAGCAATTGTTCAGCATAAACCACTATTTTTTTTTTTTTTTTGCATGATCAGTGTAGGCACATGGAACCACTCTTAGCAGTTAGGGAATGATGCGAACCCTCTTGAAATCCAAGTTCCCACATGCCAGCAAAGGGCCAGCCTTTCCAACAGGCTTTTCTAATGATAACAGTCTCAGGCCTAATGGAAACTCTTTTCTGCACAGCAGGTTTATCTTAGAATCATTATCTTGCTTTCTCTACATTTGAGGAAGAAGGGATTATAATTATAATTAAAATGAAAATGAACTAATTTAGGTCTGTGATGTATTCAATTACCTTTGCTATCTCAAAAATTTTGGTGGCTAAACATGATTTCTCTTTTGAAGCTGTTGTTCTATCATGGGCCCTTAAAAGAAAGTGATGCAGTATATTTAATATATCTGTGTGTAGTTGGGCCATGTGTATAATTAAAAGTCTCAAGTAAAAGCTAAGCTTATTTAATTAAATTTGAATGTGTTACTAAAAACAAATGGTCTCCAGGTGCCAAAGAACTTAGAGGTTTAGAATCGTCTGTAAGTTATGACTTCTGTTGGTTCTAAGTTTGTTTCCTTTTAAATCAAGAGTCTAAGTGTAAGAAAAACAATGCTTACCATTTACAAACTTGTTCAATATTTTGGAGGAAAGAATTTCTCTTTTAGAGAGATGAAACAAGTGATTTTTCTGTACCAGAAAATAGCCAAGGGAAACCAGGGATGAGAGTGGCGAATCACCAAGAAACAAAGACTAAGGATGTATTAAAGGGATTGCTATTACCTTTTGAAGCAAAAATAATTTGTGAATTGAATATTTGCAAAATATAAAAATCAGGAGTATACTTTTCATCTGAGCTTTGGAAGGGAAACAGAAGGTAAATTTAAGGATCACATTCTGTAACCATTTCAGTTAACCAAGAACACCAGATTCCTTCACAAATATGAGAAAGAGCTAATGGGAAGTGTAGACTATTATAGCTACATTCTCTATAGCCCAGTTTCCCATCGTTAAAGGTTAGTATGCATCCAGGCCCCATTGTCAACTGAGACATGGGCAATTGTAAATCCTTGATAGGAAAGGAGGCTTTTCATGCCCTTCGAATTTTTTTATTTTTTTTGGCTCTTTCTTCTGAGGTATCAGTACATCAGACAGTTGCTCTGTAAATATTTCACGGTGGGGTCTAGAGACTTCTGTTACCCTTTTAGAAGTCATGATGTCGTTTCTTAAGGCAACGTTGACCTACAAAAATGAATGCCGTAGTTGGTAGCTATTAACTTCCTCATGAAGCATCTGGGTCAAGAGTCAAGAGGAATTTTTAAAATTAATACTTCCACAATTCTACTTTGAGGTTTTTTTTTAAACCAGGAAATATGACTGTGTTCAAATGTACACATTTAATAATTCTCTCTGAACGTGCCTAAGGTGTTAGCTTGCGTGTGTTGTGATTTAGCAAACTTTTGAAACGTTCAATGATCACAAAACAGAATTGTGACACCTGGGATGCTGAGGACCTTGAATTCATCCACCAGTTAGTTTTTCATATAGGATAGGATCACACAGGCTTCATGACTGTTTATTGACTCTTACTGAAGAGAGACAGACATCTATTAATGGCTTGAAATGTTATGAACTTGGCAAGAACTTGGAATGCCATAGCTTTCTATATTTTTATCCTAAATAGTTTTCTATCCATTTACTTTCTTAAAAACTTTTTCATTAACGCATAATTTGCATGCAGTAAAATACACGAATCTTAAGGAAACATCTTGATAAATTTTTATATACTTGTATACTCACATAATCACCATGTCATTTCCTATCTTCTATCAAAAAGACTAGTCTTCCCTCTTCTTGGACATCATAAAAGAAGAATCATATAGTAAACACTTTGCATATGGCATCTCTCACTCAAAATGTTTTTGATATTCATCATGTTGGTGTATAGATCAATAGTTTGTTCTCTTTTTATGTAGTGTAGCATTCTACTGTATGAATATACCATAATTTATCTATATGCTTTCATTGATCACCATTTGGGTATTTCTAATTTGGAACTACTACGAGTGAAGTTGCTATGCACATTTTTATACAAGTCTTTTGTGGATTTATACATTTCTTTTGGTTACATTCTTAGAAGTAGGATTTCTCAGTTATAGATAAGCATATATTTAGTTATTTCTTCCCAAAAATTTTCCAAAGTGATGTGCTATTTTGCTCTCTCCCTAGCAAGGTATGGGAGTTCCAGTTGTTCTGTATCCTCACAAACACTTGGTATTCTCAGCATTTTCATTTTAGCCATTCTGGTGGATGTGTAGCAGTATCTTACTGTGGTTTTAATTTATATTACCCTGATGAGTAGAAGTATTGTTTACTTTCTACCTTCAGTATGTTTATTGACTATCTGAATATCTTCTTTTGTGCCATACGCATTTAAATATTTATTCAACTTTTTAAAAATTTATTGATTTTTGGAGAGTGTTTGTACATTATAAATATGAGTCATTTGTTAGATATATGCATTATAATTGTATATTTTCTGTCACATTATGGCTTGCATTTTTACTTTCTGTTTACTTTTAATATGGTAGTAACATTAAAGACCTCTGCCGTGTGTGTGTGTGTGTGTGTGTGTGTGTGTAGGGAAACATGTCACAGTGAAAGATCAGAGAAATGAGGATAAGTAAGACAGCAGTGGAATTAGGTGGGAGAAAAGAGAAAGGAGGATGGGCAGATAAAGGGGAAAAACAGTGAACTGTGCAGGGTAAAAGAGAAAATTTAAAATGGGAAATGGATGCAGCTTAATAAGGAGAAAGCAGGTGACAAGAATGACACTTGACCTGCAGGGAAGTTTTTTGGAGAAAAAGGCAGTTGATCCCTTGAATATTGAATGGTGGCAACAGGACACACAGCATTAAGGGGGCAGACAAAGAAAAGTTGAGAATGAAATGACAGTATGTTCATGGTGGCTAATAGCAGAGTAGTAAGTGGTTAGGAGTGGGGACTCTGGAAAAAGATGGTTTGAATTTGAGTCCTGCCTCACCACATACTAGCTATCTGAGCTTGGGAAAGTTCCTTAACCATTCCAAGTTT